CCGCATCGCAGGCATTCCCAGACTCACGGCACTGGTAGTTAATTGGTCTTATCCTCCTTGCCTCCCCATAAATGTTGCTTGTTTTCGTTGACGACGTTATCTCTGACGATGGACTTCCGCAAGTGTTCGTAAGCTCAGACAAATAAATCTATGATTCCAGTGATCAACACGGCCACTTCATCTTCTTCTTCTCAATCTATAAAATGAGATGTTTTAGCGGCCGCCGTCAGCCAACATTAGCTAAGCCCATGTTTAGGGGATCTGATGTTCGAGCTCACGCTCATGGGTGATCGCGCGTTAAGTATTCCAACGCTCAGACGTTGAGTCACGGGTCCGTTGTCTTGTCGGTTGTGATCGGGGATAGGAACAGCGATGGAAGTGCGTTTTCCTGACAGATTACGGCCCATTGCTCAATCCACTGCACCCTGGGGTGAAATCTAGGTATCCTAGGCGTGTCTCAAATACCTCGTAGGATAGTTGTCCCAATAGCTACATTACAGTGAGGTTGTTCCAGTCTGGCTCTCTCAGTCCAGAGAAGGACCGAGTTATCTCATTAGTAGGCAACAACAATGGTCGTTGACGCCATTGTCCGTGCTGGTGAGAATGATTGTTAATCCGTACTGGAGCGGCCCATGATTACTGACGCTTACTTACTTTACTTGTAATTACTGAGGCATTTTGAATACGGACGCGTCCGCAACAGCCGCTCAGATTGTTTGTTCGAGGTTGTCTCCTCTAGCGCTTTGGCTTACTAGCCTAACCACAAGGCAGCGGTGGCAAGCGGACTTATCTAATGAATGTTCACGGTCGCCATGTCACAGTGTCATCGTCGGGCCTTGCGACATCTTGGCGTGCCAGACCTCAGCCCGCCGCACCCTGGTTGCACTGCTACTGCTGGTCCACAACTGCTTATTCGACAGACCCGAGGGTCCGCTTATTTCGCAGCTAACCATTACTGAGAACCCTTATACCGCATGATTACCAGTAATTATGTATAACGAGTCAGAACTTGCCATCCCAGGACTCCTTGTCATTGTCGGTAAACCGTCTGTTTTAATGCCAACTAAATCTCTCCTGACTGCCATGAGGGATTGGAAGACGGAATAAAACAAGATGTTTTTTATTTCAATGTAAATTACACGAAGTGGCCAGTGGGATGTGATCAAAGTGATCCAAGCGATAAAAGCTTCTGAAAAGCTGTTCATTACAGCAGGAAGATGACCTCAAATGTCGAAGGTCCACGCTTGGGATAACGGTGTAACTGTTTTTTTTTAAATGAACAGTTTACAACAAATAATTAGAGAGTATGTGTAAAGTCGGGTCAAAACCGTATAGCAAATTGTCTTGAGCCTGCAAATAACTTGCAAAAATGTAATGTAAAGGTTCGAAAAAGCCTCAGAAAGGATCAAATGAAAGCAAATGGGTTGTAAAGGACCACCTCAGTAAAGTCACTTTCCATATGAAAGCATGAGACACATGATGATGATCAAGAAGACATAGCACTAAGGGACTCAGGCCTTCTTCGAAGGGACGTCGGGCTCATAAGTAATGCGCACATGTTCTTCTAACTCAGCAGAGTCTGTGGTGGCCATGTTTACAAGCATTGTAAGGGTGTCACCAGATCGAGTGTAAATTCTTTCCACCTATATGAAATAAAGTATGTAATTAAGGCATTTGTTGGGAGCGGGAGGGTTTAATTTATTATTTAAATGGTTGTTGATCTATAATGTCACCATCATATTAAAGCTCAAGCTATATGAAAGAACATGTCGCTAAGATATCGTCTGACTAATCTTATAATCGAAAAAATTCAAAAACCGTGATGAACTTACAAACAAACTTTTATAAACATACATAAATTTGTATATGCAAAATAATATTGTAGAAAAAATACAAGAAGACTGAAATGATCATTTCTGGCCGGTAAAACTGATTTTGTTTTCATGTGAAGCAGACTCAACTTGAACTGCATCCGGTCCACCCTTTAGTCCCCGACCAAGCTTATTCCAATGGCATCACAACGTGGAGTCAGACTGATTGTTTAACCGGCAAAAAAAATCAATGATCTGTGCGCGCCCAACAACCTGACCGGACCACATTCAGGGAATATTATGCCTCACACAGACAAGCAGAGACACATACACAGCCGAAAAGTAAACGGAAAAAGAAAGTCTATCTAAATTGTTTTAAAATATCAATAGTATATTTTGAACTTATGAGCCGTCTAATGAACTTAAACTAACCTTGGTCACACGAGGCTGTCTACCAAAGAAAGGTGAAACAACAGATTCCGACGTCAGCGTAAGCTTCGAGGGATTTTCTTCGTTCTCCGGTATCCTGCCCATAAGCAGGTATGCATTGCCTAGAAGAACATTTATTTTAGAAGGTAAATTCTCGCTTCTGGTAAGGGTTTACTTTTGAAAAGATTGTATTATTTCCCTACTAAATCGCAAACGGGCTAGAGGTCAACCTTGATGCTTTTTAGATAGCTGTTGGCAGAAAATGATCCGTAATATGATATTGTTTGGTTAGCTTAGTTTGAGGCTTTTTTGCTAGACTAATTCAATCAGCTCAACTTCTCGATTTTGTTATAAGTCGGCTTTCCAATCAACATTTCAAGCCACAAAGGCAAAACATTAATTTTTGGACCTCTTCAATCACTTCCTTCAATTGTGAGAAATAAGAATAACGGTGTCTAGCAGATGTTTACTCTGTCGCCTGTTTAAGAGAAGGTTTTGGCAATATAGGGTAACAGGTGGTAGCTAAGATAACTTAAAATGAACAAAAATAGTGCTGGGGGATGTGTGAGTGTTTATATTGACGTTTTGCTCTAATATCCCATAGATATATTCATATTATTTTGAATTAGAAGATTGGTTGATTGAAAAGGAGGCAAAAGCATATTCTTTGCGCAAAAAACCAGTAGACGCGGGATGCGTTATGTACATACCAAGGGAGTCTGTCAGACACATTGACACATGTCCGTCCGTATGACATCGAAAGAAGCCCTTTTCACAGTGTCTGGGAGCGCGATCTTTGTAACCATCCCCGCTTAATTTGAAAAAAGTCAATATCGCATTTAAGTTACGTAAACATTTCGTTAAAATGGTTCAAAAGCCTTTTATTTTCCTGAATGTAAACACGATAGTTCATTTTGGGTCAGGATATTGTTTGAAAGATGTGTCTAAGGTTTTAGGACAGCCTGACTGAGAAGGTGGCCATGAAAAGCTGAATCCACTAGGTATATTGGTTGCAGAACATTTTCAGAAAATGTTGGATATAAGCATGAATCTGTCTTAAATAAATTGCGAGTCAGTCAGTCTTCTAACAGGAAAAATGGGAAGGTAAGAAACAGCAGGCCAGATCTCCTAATGGGACCGAAAACGATATTTTTTGTGAGCATTCCGCTTAGGTTTGGTCAATGTGGACCTATGCACGCAAAATTTAAGACGTATGTCCTTCATTACTTTGCCAAATTTAATATAACATTAACGAAATATGCTTCCGGGCAAAATTGTCTGACTGATTGTTTAATTAGTTTAACATATTCTAGTTTTGCTTTCCAAATGAAATTACTTATATGTGTTTTGTATCTGATGGTGGTGTCCCGGAAAACTCAGGTCGATGCATGTGTTCTGGCTTAAAAGAACGAAATAGCGAATGCTAGTCTATTGAACGATTTCCGAAAATTACAAATATTGCGGTCAAATCAGTTGCTGAAACAATTTCGACACTCACACGTATGAAATCCATGGCTGACCAGTTGTGGATATCTCAAGGATCTCATTATATGGCCATTGGCCCTGTGGTCCACCTCTTCCGAGCCCAACACCACGCCACCTTCCAAGTAAGAACCGCAATTTGTGCAGAGAAGTATGCATTTGAGTTGCTGCCGGGTTCAAGAATAAAATTCAAATGCGATAAAATAGTAGCAGCTACGCAATTGACTGAGTGTCAGATGCAAATCGGACAAAGTATGGGAAGTTTAGATAAAGGTATCAGCGCAAATCATGCAACTGAAAGGTAAAGCCTCCTATTTGCTTACCAAGTTTCTGCGACATCTGATATTCGGACAAAAATAAGATCTGAAATAAAAAAATAAGAATTCTGAAGGTTGGAAGACAACTTTTTTTAAAAAATCCGAACATACTTATTCTCATGTTACCAAATATTTCGGACAGGTGTATCCAGCCGCAGAACGCCTAAAGAAAAACGGATGCGCACTGTGCCTATCGGCGGCGAAAATATAGCGCGAGTCAGCGGGGGTGGGGGCAGTCATGCATCTCTTAACAGTTCGCCAGTCTACGCGCTATGCAATCCATCCATGTCTAGTAAAACAGGCACACAATCAGTCTCATTCCCTCAAGTAATTTCCGCATTCCGTTAGCCCGTTGATGTTCCGCCTATTCCTCGGCCTAGGTCATCCCTTCCAACCGTGAGACGGTTGCGGTGGGGAACAACCTCAGGCGTATCGGAGCCTATGGCGTGAGTTGGTGCAATTTTGAGGCGCAATGTACCTAAGTTTATGCGTCGAATTTTGCCATCAGGGAATGCTTGTTAAGCTGTTTGGTCAGCACTAAACAGGATAGCAATGTCATTGCACTGCGCTGGCACAAAATGTTTTTACTAGTTCCTGGGCTACTAAGTGACCTGATTAGCGGAGGTGACATCCGCGGCACAGGAGCAAAATCCTCCAGAGAATGCTGTCAGGGAATAAATATATCCCAGGTGGATTGTTTTATTGAATAAATATGAAACAGTGTTTAAAGACATCAACTGAAAACAAATCGGCCTTGGTCGCGAAACTTCGAATAATATTCGATAAAAAATAAAAATATTATATTCATGTATATAAATCCCATGGAAAGCGCATGGAACTTAACCATATTTGCACAACCCGTAGAGGCTAAATGGATGTAAAGCGTACAAAACGTATATAAGGTTTTAGAAATAGTCTAACACAAACATTACAGATTAGTAAGCGAGTAGTTACTAGTAGTAACCATATGTATAATCATAGGTGTCTGGACCGTAGCAATGTATGCTGCTGTATGTGTAACCTCTTGTGCATGCATGTGCATGTAAACAGTGCACTGTGTGTTCTAACGCATCTATGGGTGTCACATTTCCACGAAGAATGTTAATTAATCAATATTATTTTACAAAGAAATCAAAACACTTGCTTAAAGGCATCCTTTTTCGTAAGGACTGGAAATACTGGCAAAGAGAAACCGCAGTAGTGTAACGACCCAAGAGACTGAATGACTGTTTAAGTGTACCAAGGTCAAGACTTTTCGTTGCGAACCCAGGATGGAGGTGACGTAACCAAGTGACTGCGAAGATGCCGGTGCCCGTTTCCTTTCACAGCCACTGATTCCCCATCTCGGAACCAACCGTGGTCGTATTCGTACCGTATTCCCCGCTCTATTTCAGCACTTCTATGTCCCGTCCCTGCAGTTGCCTCCGGCGCTGCGGTCTCCTCCGGTGATCGAACGGACATGACAGAACACCCTCCACTCCAAAAGGGACATGTTTCTATTAAACATCATTCCCCTCACATATTAGTTACTTATTATGTACGTATACATGTATTCCTAGTAGATGAGTACTATATATTCTTACTCTCTTTTAACCTGACCTTTTCACTTGTGTGTTTGGATGACGCTTATCGACCCAATTCAGAGCTTCCCCTGACAAAAACATCTTCAGGTATCTTATCCGCCCGTGTG